GTAGCTATACTTGTGCCTCGTGCTTTTTGTCAAGTTCTTAATAGTAGTCATAAAAATTGTTTATATTTGTTGATTTATTGGATATAAAAATATCATGTGGCTTAGCTGATGAGTTCGAATTTAATAGAATCATAACCTAGATGGTTTTGGCATGTGCATTAACATTTCTTTGATTAATTTTCGCCAGTATATATTGGTACACTAAAAATAACAATCCTGCGTGAGTTGATGAATTAACCTATATCAAATGGTCAGTTATTATTATATTTATAGGAAAATATCTAGATTATTTTTAATGATTTATTTCCATCTTCTGCCTAGTGATTTGCATTGACACTCATTCATTTCCTCTCTAAAATTTGTAGATTAGCAGAAAAAGTTATTCTGGAGTCACTGAAGAGAGGCGGCATTGTTATTGGGTAACATCTATTTTGTCCCTATCGTTTTCTTGTTGCAATTGCAATGTGTCAAAAACACAGCGATGATTTTCTGTGGTATAATAATTTGTGTCTGGTTTCCGGGATAGCAATGTTGATGATATGATGACCAAACGCTTGGGTGCTGTTTTTATGCCACATGGCCTGGGGCATTTCCTTGGTATTGACACACATGATCCTGGAGGCTATTTGAAGGTCTTAACAACATTTATGTGCAATTAAATTTAAAGCTCCCTCCTCCCTCTTTTTGTGTTTTATAAACGGCCATTTAATTATACGATGCTGCAAAATGGTTTTCACGTGATGTCTTAGAAAATTTGGCATATTTGCAGGGGTTGCAAAGGCCAAAGGAACCTGGATTGAAGTCCTTGCGTACAGTCCGACATCTCCAAGAAAGAATGGTTAGTTATGACTTTTTCAGTACAGAAATTCGAGTTCTCTTTCTTTGTGATGTCAGATCTCAGATGTCACATTCTACACTTCTCTGCCATTATCCCCCCGGGGCGGCAGCGGGGAATGGCACCAGTATGATGCATCTAAAACTCTGAATCCCTTCATGAGAGTGGAGCTTACTTTTGTATTGAATAATCCAGTTGTGTCTCTCATCTGAATGTCATCGTAAGATGATTATGTCCATGTCATGTTTGGTATGGTGGAGCCATTTTTAAGAGAAATGGAAAGGGAGAGGGAGAGATAAAATGTTTCATACTTCCCTTATTGGAGAGAAGCACTAATTCCTTAAAATTTCAATCATTGTGTATCAAACAATTGAGATGGAGACTACTCTCTGGCTTCTCTTCTTGAATCTTACTTTACTCATACGAAGCATGACTTTTATAGGAGTCATATCATAAACTTCCATGGCTGTGGTGAAAGTTAAAATCAAAATAATTATTGCTATTTGTAAACCATTGGTTGTTTTGGTTAGCCTTGGTTCTTTTCATGTGATGCTCTGATGCTTCTTATTTCCTTAGTACTATTTACTATTGCAATGAAGAAATAAGAAAATGTTGACCGTAACCTTTCCCATCTTTTACACTTTCAGGTTATCACCGTGGAGCCTGGATGCTACTTCATTGATGCTTTGTTGCTTCCAGCCATGAGTAGCTCAGAAACTTCGAAGTTCTTCAACCAGCAAGCGATTGACAGATTTAAAGGTTTTGGTGGAGTTCGAATCGAAAGCGATGTGGTATTTTCATTTTCTTAACTTTCCTGAGGACTTTTTGCGTAGTTTTCATACTTTCTTACTCTGGCAAAAAAATAAAAATAAAAAATAAAAAATTCTAACGATCAGATCACATATCACATTCTAACCTAATTTAGAAAACTATCTACACGGAATTTTTCATTTAAAAGAAAATATAAACACATAGTTTGGAAAACATTACAATTTTCTTACGTTTAAAATTTTTTCATTTCAACAAGTAATAGTTAAATAGGGACATTATATTTTCTTTTTATATATTGATTATTTGTGAGACCTATATCATGTTATTTTCCTCATTGTCATTGATATTTGTCTTGGCATATTTATCTTTGAAGAGAAAACTTGGAACTTAAATATACATACATAATGTAATTTTGGCAATCAAATGAAAATGAGAGTATTTTAGTTCTGTTCTTGTAATTAACTGTTGTTATTAACACCATCGTTTCAAATTTAATGTTCACTTATTTTGAATTGATTGGGAAAAAAGGTTCATCAAACATGAGTTTCAATACCCAAATCTTTTCTTATCCTTTTTGTTTCTTTGGGAAAAAAAAGTTTTATCATCTTCTATGCAGTAATTTCACCCATTAAAATAGTTTAATGGTCGAGACGTTTGAAATTTTTTATTAAAAAAATCGGTGGTTAAAATTTTTTGTGTCAACAGTGGTTAAGTAATTGAAATACTTCTTCTGGTCTTAAATATAAGAGCTTAATAATTAAGCTACAGGGATTTTAAAAATAATCATTTTACCTAATTGTTAAAAAAAATGTGTTGGTTTTCTTAAAATACTTTTTGTAGCCAATTTTTATTGGAAATTACTCCATTAATGGAAAACCTTCTTACTATGCATGAGCAATAGAGTTTAGCAAAAAGAAATTATAAATTTTAAAGACAAAATAAATTGATTTCTTGCATTTATAACCAAAACAGACTTTTTTTTTATTAGCTTTTCTATCTAAGACAGTAGGAAGTAATATGGTAGTGCTCCATTTTTTTTTTTTCTGTTTTTTTCTCAGTGATACCTTGCTGTTATATATTCTCACTTACCATTTGATACATGGTTTTCTCAGCTTGTTACTGCCGATGGTTGCAAAAATATGACCAATTGTCCTCGAGAAATACCTGAAATTGAGGCGGTGATGTCGGGGGCACCATGGCCACTCAAGGACGCCTCTGCCAATGTGGGCAATGGTTTAAAGAGCTAATCTGTTGAGCTTCCTTCTGATAGATAACAGAATAAGTGGCCCTCTGTTTCCGAGTTCTGATTTGGAACCCATGTACTAAAATACTCCCCACAAACTTTATCAGTAATTATGATGTAGATCAGTTGATATTTAGCAGCAGTGATGTCAGAACGTAGCTGCATTTTTCATGCTGAGTGGCTGAATGGTTATAGGCTTGTAGTAGTTGGCACCTAAAAAAAAGAAAAAACACTTAATTAAATTAAAACATTATAAAAATCTATAGGTAGCAAGTTTTTAGGACTTGGAGTGAGATTAACCCCATAAAATAAAAAATAAAAATAGGCCAAGGACATTTAAATGTGTGATAAAAGACAGAAATTGATTTCAACCCAAAAAAAAAAAAAGAAATTGATTTTCCGCAAAATTACTTAATGTGGATGTGTATGTGATACAAAGGAGTAATTTAAAGAAATATAAAGGTATGTTTGGCTCAATAAGAGGAAGGGGACGGGAGGGATTTTAATGGAGGAAAGGGAATGCAAGGAGAGTGGAAAGATTTTAATAGTATTTTGTTTGGATTTATAAAAAAAGAGGGGGAGGGGAGGAGAAAATATTTTAATATGGATAATTTTGCTCTTATTTTATTTAAGATATGTGTATAATGGTCACAACATGACAAAATATGGACATAATGGTCACAACATGGTAAAATATGGGCATAATGATCACAACATGGCAAAATATTGCCCTTTCCCTCTAAATTCTCTTAATTTTGGAAGGAAGGTTGAGGAGAGGAGGGAAGAGAAAATTTTAAAAAATTTTCCTTCCCCTCCTAAAATTTGTGTGTTGCCAAACAAGGAGAAATGATTAAAATCTCTCCCCTTTCCTCCCCTCCCTCCCAAATCCCTCATACCAAAAAGTATTTTAAAAAGAAGGGAAAAATACATAAGAGTAGAATTTATTCATCTAAGGTTTTTGAAAATGGTTAAATTATTTCCAAGTTTTAAGGGGCTTGAGGGCAAAATGTTACAATTGTAAGAAAATTATCTTGTCCTCATATATGGGAATGGGACTTATTTCGCGTGTTTTTTGTCACTGCATGGGAGAGGGAAAATTGATAAAGAAGAAAAGGAGCTTTATAACCATTTCCATCATCTCCGTTATTACAGGCAATCTTTTTGTTTTATTTTCTTTGTAGGTCTTATCATTAGTAATATTGGCTTGTTTGAATTCACAGTCCTTGAAAGTATAATATTGGTTTGAAAGCTAATTGAGTGTGAGTGTGTGGGTATTTATAGTATATGATTCAACTCCCTTCCACCATTAAAGGTGGACCATTTTAACCATATGTTATTAGAGGTGGTAATATAGACCAACCTAGGTTAGGGTTAAGTGGTGTGAGTTGAAAAAAGCTCGTGTAATGGGAGGTTAGCTTTTAGCCAACCCTAACCCATTTATGATGGGTTGATGGGTTGGTCCGCTAACTATTATTTGCTTTTTTTTTTTTTACAAAATATTTTTTCTTATACAATATAAAGAAAGTATAATGAAATTTTTACTTTTCTTTCAAATATTTGATTGAAAACACCAAATAAATGATATTGGTATTTTTTTAAAACTTTTTTAGATAGGATATAAAATATAATAATATAATTATAACAATTAATAAAATTTCGTTTGCTGACGGTGGGCTGTGAGTTATGCAGTGCGAGTTAAAAAGTTTCGTTTACTGACGAGTTGACTTTTAGCAAACTTTAACCTGTCATGTTTTATGGGTTGACGAGTTAGACTTATGAATGTAACCCATATTACTAGCTCTATATGTGGTCTTAACTATTTTAACTATAACTTGAGAGAAACTTGAGCAACAAACTACCAAAAAACACATAAACACCCCATAATAGAATATAAAGAGGGGTAGGGATTTTAATTTTTCAAGATGAAGTGAGATATTGAAACTAAAGAGGGCCTTGATGGCACACATGACACACCTACACAGGTCCTTAACTGGACTAAGAATGAAGTTGTGAAACTCTAATTAGTTTGATTACCTTTCAATATTTTCCACCTGACAATCTTAGGGAACAAAGGCCTGTAATCAGATTTGTCATCTTAAAATCAAAGAAAAGTCTTCAGAGGTTCAGCAATCAGCTAATGCAGTGTTGGCATTAGAGTTCGGACTTGCCCTTCTTGGGGTCCTTCTTTGAAGTACTTGTCTTCTTTGCCTTCCATCATTGTCGTATACGATTGGAGACCTTAGCATGTTGCTTCCGTGTCATTTTTGCCTCTGCAGATCCTTTTCTTAGCCTCCGTCTTTGTTCACTGTTTCTGCCATTTTTATCCGTCAAAACTTTACCCTGTACGATATGGGTTTCTTTGCTGATCATTCCAACCAAAATGGGAAAGTCGGATATATATATTTAGTACCAATTTTGAAGGGAAATCTGCTTCATCATCATCCTCATTTTCATCACCATCTTCATCGCCAAAGTTCTGCATGTTCATCGAATCATCCCTTGAGTACATTTTCATAAGGGGTGCTCCTGGCATGCCCTGAATCATAATGAAATATACAAGAATAACATCACAGCTATAGCTAACAATCAAGGGTGTGTTCGGATCATAGTGGTGACTTCCAAACTGACTTCTCCATTGGAAAAAACTGAAAAAAAGTAACTTTTTGTTTAAAACATATGTTTGGATTGGCTGTGGAGGTAAACAGACTTATGTTTAACACGAACTTTTTTCCAAAAACTCCAACTTATTGTTTTCAACTTCGCCACTGCATGTTTGGATAGGTGGGGTCATGAGTGAGGGAGGAGAGAGAATGTTTTATACATGATGTGAGTTTTTTTTTTTTTTAACCCAACCACTTGAGTTGGTTTTTAATATTAAAGAAATTATTTTTTGAATAATGAAACCATTTTTTAAAAAATAAATTTATTATTCTTTATTATTTACTATCATATTTATAAAATCTATGGATAATTGAGAAAAATGTTCTGTTAAAAATTTAATTGGTAAGAAGTAATTGATAAATTTTTATATACTAAGTGTAAATATTATAGATATAGAATGCTTGTATTATGATTTAGATCCTTCTCACTAATTATATTTTTAATAGGAGGATTTTTTCTCAATTTTTCCTAAAATTTAAATATATTATTTTAGTTTTAATTATTCTTAAAAATAAGTATTTTTATTTTTATAATTCTAGGTCTCATTATTCTCTGACAATTATCATATTATAAACATATAATATAAATATGTACCATTCAATAAAGTTTATATTTTTTTCAGTCATCTTACATCTAAACTTTTTTTTTATTAATCATTCAAACAAATTTCAGCTTCTCAAACTGATTTTTTCACAAAAGCTAATCCAAACATAAATCACATTTACTACTTGACTTTGACCTAATTTAACTTTTGCAAAATTCATATTGAAAAAAAAAAAAATTTTCCCACCGCTAATCCAAACACACCCTAAGAGTGTGTTTAGATTAGTGGTAGCAAAAGTGACTTTTGACCTTTACAAATATGGTTTAGGATGAAATTATGTTTAGGTTAACATTTGTTAAAAAGTTAGTTTGAAAATTTGAAATTTGTTTGGATGAGAAGTAGAAAAATAAGTTTATATATAAAATGACTACAAAAAGATGATTTTTTTTAAAAAATATATATTATAGATATATAATTTGATAAATTTAAAAATATTATAATTATAATTATAAAAAAAAGGAATTAATATATTATTGAGAAAAATATGTAAATGCTCACGCATATTTAATTAGATATATTTAATAAATAAATATATAAAAAATACAAACAATAAAAAGTAATTAAAAATCAAAGGTAGCAAAAAAAAATCTAATAAAAAATCTCATTTAATAAAAGATCATCTATAACACGCCAATTGGCCAAAAAAAACCATACAACGCACCCATGCAATGCAACAACAGGGAGGAGAGGGGGGGGGGAGAGAGAGAGAAAGGAGAGGGGACTTGTTAGCAGAAAAAAGAGGGTAAATCTAGAAAGTGGTGTAATAATGGGTTGTAAAAAATATAATGACATAAGCCAAAAGCCAACCAGCCAACACAACTAATGTGGAAGTAAAAAAAAAAAAAAAGGTTTTAGCTCACATTAAGAAGCAAAGTAACTTTTTAACTGCCACAAATCCAAACAATGAATTATCTCCAAATGATCCACTAACGCACGTTGTTTGATTTCTTAGGCACATTTTGTCTTGATTTGCATAAAAATATTTTTTAAAATGTCTTCTGAATATACTAAACATTCCCTAAGGCGTTATACAGGTTAGAGAGAAAGTATTGTCTGTTGGCTCACTTTTGTTAAGTTTAATTTGCACGTAACTTTTCTTCAAATAAATATTTGTGTGTGTGAGAGAGATGAAAGTAAGAAGAAAACCTCCATAGATTTTAATAGATTTTCCATTTCAGCCTCCTTTGATGATTTTGGAATGAAGGGTTCTCCAGCAGCCCTGCCCCTGCATCACAGAACATCTGATTAAAACTGCATCATATAGTTGTTCCAATTTCCAACAATAATGTGAAGGGCAAACAAATTTCCAGTCCCCATGTAAGTGGCATATGTTCGGACAATCAAGTACAATACTGTAATAGCAGAGGCCAGATTCAATATAATTAAAAAAGGTTCCAGGTTCAGATGAATCACAGATCAATGTGAATACATTAATCATAGCTCACAACAAAATCATAAAATGCTACTCCTTTCCATCTTCAGAGCTTAGTTACCTTAGGAACAGGGGGTGGCTTGGTACTGCATGCTTTAGTAAGGTCTTTACAGAGAAAATTGAACAGTGAATCAATATCAGGCATGGACTTGTAAAGATATTCAGCAATATCTGTATCATAATATCCAATTACCTGTAAACCCCAACTAAGCAATTCCGCGATAGTAGATATTTTGTACAGTAAAATTACATGAGCATATAGAACAAGCAGAGGATGTAAAATTTCTATAATCAGTGATCAGCCAAGTTTTAAAAGTGTTATAAGCCAATAGAAAATAAGATCATAATAAGTGTCATACCTCCTGACAAGCGCGTTCAGTTGTTTTACATTCAGAATTACATTGTCCCTCAGACTCTTGCTCCATTAATCAAATATTCTCTGGCCAAAAAAAATTAAAAAAAAATCAAATATTCAATACGAAATATAGGATTTACAACAAGTTATATTGTTCACAAAGCTTCTAATTTCCCCCCCCCCCCAAATTTGCATGGGTTGAACTTAAAATGACTTTAATCAACAACTGTATCTTATCTGTTATTTAATCAAGATCCAATGGAAACACCAAGAGAAGCTTAGGAGTACCAACTTATAACACAATTCAGAGAGGCATTTATCAAGTAAAAACTTGGAAAGTTCTCATACCTCTACCCTATCTTCTCTTTCTACAATATACATATGCAAAATCCATTCTGCTTCTGCCTTTTTCAGATTGCAAACATTTTCTGTTATCGCAGTGATCTGGAACTCCGATATCTAAAAGCGAAAATCTTACAAAATTGAGTCAAAAACTATAAAACCCCGCATGCTACCTGTCTGATAGACACAGTGAGGCAACTGAGAAGTAAGGCCAAATGGTAAAATAATACTCTATCTTAATGTAAAAGCTATTTAACTCTAGTGAGCACGAGTCCTCAACCCTTGACTCTCAATGAAAACACCTTGTAACAAACACAAGTTTTTGGGAGAACCACATCTCAAAAGCTAGCTATTGGAGTCAGGAAACCAAGGCCATATAAGACCCCTCATTCAAGGAAATCCATCTACTGTGGACTCATAACATTAATTTCAGTAGATAGATAAAGGAAACTAAATAAATATTCTAATAAATGTAACATGATCTCACTGAAATATCCCCATGTAACATTAGATTATAAATCAACTTATAAGTTAGGTGAATTATTTTGAGGGAAAAATGACAAATATAAGATATAAAGTAAATTAAAATCTTATATTTAGAACCAAAACTAACTTCCTAACTAGCTCCCATGTTTAATACAGGAGCAGTAGTAGCTTCTTTGGGGTGATCTTTGCTTGCTTTTTTTGGAACATGCTAATTGATAGGAACCAGAACAAGAATAGATGATAAAATGCTGAATCTGAATAACATTGATCAGTTCTTCCTTCTCAATGGGACAAGGAAGACGTTACAAACTGAAATACTCCTCCGGTCCTTATTATAAGACCCAATTTGACTTTTTATTTGGTCCTAATTATAAGACCCAATCCATTTTGTCTCTTATATTTATGCATTTTTTTTCCAAAATAATCCTTCTAATAATGATAGTTTTAGCCAATATACTTAATTAGTAAGGATATTTTAGGAATGACAACACTTATTTATTATAAATAACCAACTTAACTTACTTTCTTAATCTCCTCAAATAAGTCAATTGGGTCTTATAATTAGGACCGGAGGAGTACATCAATATCTCACAAAATAATCCCTTGACCTGGCATTCTAGAGGCTAGCACTCTCCTCACCAAAACAATCTTCAAAATATGACCCAGGAGCCTCCCCGGACAAAACCAACGACTATATGCTCAACGAAATTGGTCAACAAAGTCCCCCAAAATACCCTAATACAATCACAGGTCTAAGGCACACAAAAGCATACTAGATTACGCACACTTTCTCTAAAAAGGTAGGAATCAGAAAGTCAACTTATAAATCATCCTTTCCATTTACTTGCATCTTCTTAGGTCTTCTCGTGTAAGCATGTTTAGCATGTGTGGCCCTATCACTGATACAATTGCTTGGCGAGCTTTTCACACACTTGACATTTGATGTACGGAATATCTTTTTTTCTAGCGCCTCCCATAGTCTTCTTAAGGCACACAAGCTGAAACCACGAAAGATACAACTATAGTGCTACTTCCAGCCCTTAGTATAAAAATTAGTTGACTACTTTAAGTAGATTAAGAAAATTAGCTAAGTTAGTTATTTGTAATAAATAGGTGTTGTCTTTCCTAAGATATTCTTACTAATCAAGTATATTAGTTAGAACTGTCATTATTACAAGGACTATCTTAAAAAAATAGATAAATATGAGAGTTAAAATAGATTAATCTGAAAATAAAAGTTAAACGAGCTCTTATATTGAGCATTATCTTCATCTTCTACCAAGTAAGTCCAAGTCCCTTCCCTCTATTGAAATTGAAGAACAAGAAACGGGTCACCCAGGAGAAACCCTTGGGACAAACGAGTGTTTTAGCAAAATCGAAGCTTTGCAAAACACGAGGAACTTCATGACGAAGCATTTCAATTTGTAATCAAAATATGGAGGTTTGTTGGAGCCGTAGTAAACTTACCGACGAGAGAACAGTGGGTCCCTTCTTTCAACCAAATAAGGGGCAACAGAACACGTCGTTCAGCCTTTTGATTTGGATTGAAGAGTTTTCCCGGAAAATTATTGCATTAGGTAGCGCATCGTGGTCTTCACTGCACTAAGCAAGCATTCTAGATGGTCGTTTGACCGCGTGTCCGTGAAGTAGTGACTAAAACGCACATGTCCGTCATCAATGATTAGTCTCATTTCATACCGCGTCTTCCTTGTGTTGAATTGTTGACGAGAGAAACCACAAAAGGGGAAGAAAATCTCAGGGCCAATCTCATTATATTTTTTCTCACACATAAATGCAGCTCACAACTCATGAAGTCTAAAAATAACTAGAGAACCAATATAGAACATATATCTGGTGAAACAACTTGCCATAAATTCGATCAAATGATCAATATTATATATTATCATCATAAAAATTTCAGTATTGCTTCACGGCAATATCAATTTTCTTCATATATTGCATAGTACTTGAAACACTACATAACTTCAATTTTTTTTTAATGATACAGTTCGCCATAACTTTCGTATTTTATGTTTTTAATCTTGGCTGAACTAACCTCAAAACCAGTATGGCAACTTCTTTGCTGATACTTATTCCCCCGCTTGTATTAGCTTGCTAGATATTTTTAATAGGTTCTTTTTCAGTTTAAAGGAGCCAACAAAACAACGAAAAACAGAGAGTGGGAGGGAGACGAGTAGGTACCATCATAATAAATTGGGAGTCCTTCATTATTGACCTCTATTGTCACAAAAAAATCAATAAAACAATCCAACATCAATTTACAGATACAGCTTCTCCAACACCTCACTTTTTTCCTCTATCAGTATGACTGAGATATTTAAACTGAGACCGACTGGCTAGCTCCAAATGAATGAATAATGCAAACATCTAATCTACTGTGTGAGAGTGTGTGTGTCTCTTTGTGTTTTCTGTGTGTCCTGGCTTCTTAATTCCCCTTCTTATCTACAAATCCTTCTCCATCTTCCATCGTCTATCCTCATCTTCAACAATTACTAACAAAAAAATAACATAAAAATTAAGAAGCACAACCAGTCAGCTTCAAGTCACAAAAGTCTCCCTGGTAGAATCAAACATCGAGTGAAACACGAGTCTTTATAGGCTTTAGCTTCAACCCCATGCTTTCCGGAGAAAGGAGCTCTGGAGAGATGCAAGATGGGCTGAGCGGGCTCCTTGGGCTCTCGCTGAGCTGACTCGGCCTACAAAGCCCGTAGCCCACAAAGAAGTACTCCATTGGAATCAGCATTGCATGAGGTTGTTCCTCTGTCACCATTGATCCACAAGCCTGGACCTGCAATATCAAAATCAGCCCCAAACTCTCATACCTACACTTGCTGCTTCTTTATAAACACATATTATTAGGTATGCAATGCTTCAAAGAAGTAATCTATTCAGGCCACACTGCTAAGACTTCATTCATACTATTAGAGGACTTGCATGAGATCAACCAACTACATGTCCCCAGTTACCACGTCTCCCCACCCAAAAGGGAGAATGAATCAACTGAACTTAAAACAAGATAAAATCCCGAGTCAGGTCAGACCACTTAGGTGTGACGTTCTCCTAAGGGCAATTTTTTTTTTTTTTTCGTGCACAACTTGAGAACTTAATTAACAAGAACAAGTACCGAACCACTTGAACAAACTTATTTATTACACCTACATTATCATTATTCAATAGTAACAAGCTCTTTTTATCAACTTCTTTTCAATGATATGAAGGGCATTTCTCATAAAAAAATGGTGTCTTTCCGTTTCATTTCTTTTTCTATGCTGTTCTTTCCTATGTACCGCACGGGTGATAAGGAGTCTTGAAAACTTATGAACATATATATCTTCACACATACTTCTGCACTACATACCTCAACCAAGGCACTAAATCTCCTATCGAGTTTTGCTGTCATGTGGAGAGACTCGGAATGAAAGGGAGAATTTTCCCCAACAAATATAAGTGTACGACAATGTAGTCTCTTCAATCCTTCTGTAAGGTCCGGTCTCCTGCAAGTTGACAAAACAAGCTTAATGCACATGATATGACTGCCAATTCACAGACTGAAGAAAAAAGGCACACACAAAAGAAATTAAACATCAGAATCGAATATGTTAGCAGATTTTACCGATTAATTGCTTGAAGAAACCGCAAGACATTTGTGCTCTTCCTCTCATCAAGCAACTGGAAAAGAAGCATACAAGTAACCTGGTGTAAGCCTTACTGAATATATTAAATGAATAAAGAAAACAGAAATAACAATCAGATTTAAGCAACAGGGCAATACAAGTAAGTAGTAATTAAATTAACCCAACACTGACTTTTCTGCAAGCTTGAACTATCTCTGATTCTGGAACTTCTATATTACCACGGACTTCCTGTAATTGGTTTCCCAAAAGACAATTATGGCAAATCAAATAAAAGATGTGAGAGAAAGAGAATGCAAGCTACATTGCCAAAATCCTGGCATTACATTATTATACCTCGCTGAAGTATCGTTTAAGCAAGCACTCTTTCAGCAAACCACACATGCCATAAAAATATAGCAGATTTGACATCACCTAAAAATTAAACACGGCCTCAATAATATGATAAACTTTTAAATTCATGAATTAATTAGTCAGAAGGCCAAAAAAAAAAAAAAACGAACCTTGTTATATAACCATTCAGTCCAAGAAGGTGATTTGCATAAAGGAGATACAAGTATTAAGCCAAGAACACGATCCCTATATTTCATCTGTATCAAAGCGAAAAAAAAATCAACTGAAATAAGATTTCATTCATAGTTCATATAGCCCCAAAGCACAACTCATTAGTCAAGTAGAGAGCGTACAGCGAACAGGGTAAGGATATAAGCACCAGCTGTTACCCCCATACACATCACAGCACCCAGCCTGGATAAAGGTGTTCATACCATTAGGAATAAACTAATTACGGCATAAACATTAGATTTGGCTCTAAAACATAGTATGGAAATGCCATTCTAATCCCGCTTAGTTTCAGAGCCATTACTAAGTTGGATGGTGCTTTTCAAGAGATCAATTTGAAAATATATGTTCTGTACTCCATTGTTTTTTTTTTTTCCGGGGCAAAGTTCGATAGCCTATCTTGAAAGCTCCATCTGAGTGTAAAATGTAATAGAAAATTCCATTTGAAAAGCTATAGCACATTCAATCAAATTGTAGTTACCCGAAATAATTGAGAATTTCAATTATTTGATCTGCTAAATCTTCAACAGAGAGCACAGGATCATCAGGACCAAGCGCAGCAGCTCCCAACTGCAAGAACTCTTGTGAAAGTTTCAGAGGAGAAATTCTGTGAATAATAATTCTAAGACAGAACCAAATCAATATACAATCAAATCAATTAACTTACAGACCTCATGCCCAGGAGGACTGATGTGATATATGCAGAAGTTGTGAAGCAGCAAAGATGCTGCCTCAGGACAGAAAAATAATCCTTGGAAACACGACATGTCTGCATCAAAACAGAGGACAATAATTTCTCAAAAAGATTAAATTAATAGGAAAAAAAAAAAAGAATAATAGATTATTTGAAAGTGAGCTGAACAAACTTACAATTGAGTGCTAAATCTGGATAAGTGATAAGTGCTGGCTTATCTTGATCCCCATACACTATAACAGACACCGAACCACAGCCAGTACGAATACGATGTTCCTAAAACAGCAAACCAAAATAAGCTTGGAGCAGACACAGAAAGAAACCAGAGAGAAAGCGTTCAGATATTAAAAAGAAAAAAGAAAAAGAAGGGGGAAAAAAAAGAAGCTTAAACTTTTGGTAAGAGAAAAAGAACCCTCTCCTTAAGCAACGGATATCATCATCCCCTAACATGGATGCCCATGTGCCCTTACCCCTTTTCTAGAAAAACCTAAGTAACAAGCAACTGCATAGCAATAGCAATGCCAGTTTCAAAAAGGATAAATAAAACAAGAACTCCAGATCACACTCATCGTACGCTCCAGACAAAAATGCAAGGAGAAAACAGTAAAAACAGAAATTCTACGGTGGATTTATCTTCCCAAGACATGCACGTTGAGTTAATGTGAAATAGCTATGCAAACGTGTAAGAGGTGCAGTTGCTGTTCCCATGGCAACAATGTGGTATTTTTAGACTCATGGACCACCTACTTATCTATGTAGACTAAGTCTGGCCCAGTTCTCTTGGTGGTTAAAAGGGGGAAAAAGATCAACTTTTTGAAAAGTAAGAGAAACTTCAGCTGATCTGGAAACCAATAAAACTGATATGTACACCGAAACATAATTATACAGCTAAAGTTATCACCATAAATAGACCGTAACTATGGACTACGCTTCTAAAGAACTAAAGAGATAAATCAAAGCTAAAAGGATTCTATTTTTTATAATGTTGAACCTCATCCAAGAAGCGACGAAAAAGCAAAAGCAAAAAAAAAAAAAAAAAAGAAGTATGATGGGAGAAAAATTCCTTCATCTTCACTCAAAACCCGAAAAATTCATTGATCATCCAAAAAGCAACAAAAGCCGAGAAAACAAATTTCAGTACTTCTGAAACTCACTAATCAATGTTCCACACATGCATAATACAGACTTTAAAAATCCATCTGCGAGACATTGGTAAAGGAAGATCGCAAACAAGATAAACAGAAGACGTCACGAACAAAATTCCAAAATAACCAGGGGAACAAGGAATTTGAAGCCAGAAAAGATAAGAAGGATGAATATGGAAAGAATCAACATCAATATTTTAACAATTGGATGATGGAAGGGCAAAAGAATATTTAGCAAATAAGGATCCGTTATCCCTCCCTTTATCTTCAAAATCCCTAAAACTTGGCGAAGGGAAATATATTACCAAAAAGAGGATCATCAAGAAAACAAAGGGGAAAATAACCCAACGCCATCCTATTTTAGAATGAAACGTTTCTTGCTCTTCCTGACTTCGGAAACCAGATAGCAAAGCAAAATACTTGAGCAATCAATATTCAGTTACATTAAGAAAAACTGCCCCAAGTGACGTCGAAAATTGACTTCCCTTAATTTCTGCCACAAATTTTCTCCGGCGAACTAAAATGGCCTAACCATAAAACGAAATGCAACATGATATACTCTCCACAATCATCCCAGAAGATACTACGAACAAGAATAAAGACCCAATTAAAAGAACAGTTCGAATTAATCGATCCATTTCAAAGCTTCAACCATTAAACCCAAGACAACAAAAGAGATCATACTAGGAGGAAGGGAGAGGGGGAAGAGCGGACCTTTCCACCGAGATAGATCTTCTCTGTGTGAGAAGGAATAGAATCATTTGAGTCAGCCATGGCCGAAGCCAATTAGAGTTGTCTAGAAGCCCAGGAACTGGAAAAAGGCTCCTGAGACAAGCTGTGCGTGTGTGGGGGGTGTCTCGGCCAGGATCGAGAAATAGTGAAATGGATATGGAGGAGGGTGAGTGGTGGAATTCAAATGGCTTATGTAGGAAGCGATTCTTTATCTCACAACACAGGAATTAGAACTTCCCCTTTCCTTCCTTCCTTCCCTCCCCGTCTCTCTCTCTCTAGAAACTCATTGTTTTTACGTCCTTATGCGGTTAACCACCACCGACGGTTCCATGGACACCAACAACTACAGATCTTGTCAATTTAACCGCATTATTATTATCATTGTTGTTGTTGTTATTGTTAAAATTGAATATACGTTTCTCGTAGTAAGATGCGAGAGATGTAATAATTTTAAATACAAAAAGATGTATTATTTTCTAACTTTAATATAGCTTTTATAAAATAAATAAAGAGATGGCGAAAAATTAAATAAATAAAGAGAATTTAAAAATAAATAAAGAGAAATTAAAGATAAAAAATATGCATAATTTAATATTCATGGTTTGTAAATGATATTGCTCTTTATAAATTTTAAATTCTATATTAGTTATAATGATATTTAATATTCATTTTTATACATGATGCACCTAATTAGGCTAAAATACACTTGACCTAAAACATTGGGGAAGTGCCTTATAACCCAACAGCTTTAAAAGTTTGAAATTAACATTCAATTTTGAGCCAAAACTTAGGTAAATTAAGTTTAATGTAATGGTGTATGTATATCGTACTAAGTAAAACACTTAGCTGATATAACATTGAATTTTGAGTAGCTGATGTTATGTATTGTTGGAAGATTTATAAGGAAATGGAGAGTGGAATTCCGATGGCTAAGAAATACCACTGAAAATGAAAATTATATGTGTTTCTAAAACAGAACAAAAAAAGAAATAGAGGTGGGAGGTGGATTTAAAAAAAAACGAAAGGGAATATTTCTTCCAATACGAGAAATAATGTGGATTTAAAAAGAAAAAAAAAGAGTTTAAGGTGCAAATTTACCCACAAAATATTTCCTTATATATACCAAACACCGTAATAGGAGTAAAAGTAAACATGAACACTTCTACCTGGCGTGAAAATGTCACAACTTTGATTGTTAGTAAGCATATCAATAAAAAAAAAAATGGTGTTAAAAAAAACACATAAAGGCTTCGAAATTGTGTTAAAATGTCGTAGTCATTAAGTCAATCAATATTTATTATTTAGGAAATATTCCCACATGCATTACATAGTACTATCTCCGGTCCTAACTATAAAATATAGTTGACTAATTTGAGGAGATTAAATAAAGAAGTTAAGTTAGTTATTTATAATAAATAGGTGTTGTCTTTCTCAAAATATCCTTACTAATCAACTATATCGGCTAAAACTACAATTATTAGAAGGACTACCTTAAAAAAATACATAAATATAAGAGACAAATTGGATTAAGCTCTTATATTTAGAACCAAAATAAAAGTCAAACAGAGTCTTATATTAAGGACTGGAGATTTTTTTTTTTCTTTGATTGTTGGTGGTTTTGGCTTAGAGATGAAGAGAAAAATAACTCGTCTATATATTGTCACAAAAATCAATATATTTAAATCCTCTAATAATATTATTACTGTGTCATAATTCTTAACATCCCCTTCGACATCCTTCTCTATCTCCTTCCAAATAAAAGGATAGTGGATGAAGCTGTTGAGGGAAGGGCAACTCTAGCAACACATGTGGAGTTGTTTGCTAAATGGTTAACGTTGGTTGATTTAACAATCGTAGTATTTTTATACTATTTGAGAATTTTCATTTGTATTTTTAAATTATTTTCTCGATTGAGGAATGTTCAAGTGTGCTTTTACACGTGGAAAAATATCATGGTGTTTAACATGAATTGGGTTATATTTTATGGGTAAACTCGCACCGTGATTAAAAAGAAAGGGAACAATAGAAGTGGATTGGACCTAAAATGAAATGGACTAGAACGTCCATCGCAAGGAAAAGCAACGGAGCAAAAACTCATTGGGGGCAATTTTGAAACTTTACATTGGTTTCTGTAGTGAATAGTAACATTCTCTCAAAATATTAAAAAGAGTGAATGTGTAAATTTACTCATAAAATATAACTCCATGAATATTAGGCATCATTAACTTTTCTTGGGGCCGTAAAAGTGCTTCTAATGTTTTCAAAATGTTACAAAAATATCATGATCATTAGGTCAACTGATGTTTGTTTAACAAACATGTTCTTAGCCAAAAAAAAAAAACAAACAAAAATACACGTGAAGTTTTTAATAACCATGGTATTGTTGCACCATTTTGAAAAGCTGTGTTTTTGTACCATTTTCTTAGTCTACATATTTATCGAACAGTCAACGTTAGTTGATAATCATGACATTTTTCAATTATTTTAAAACTTTAGATATACTTTAACACCTAAAGAAAATTTAATAAAAACGTTTATGGCTTTGGGTTGTGATAGGAATGGGAGAAATAATGTTATCATTTGGGTTTTATGATCTCCTAGCACTAGAAAAAATCCTTGGGTTTTTTTTTAAAAGTGTAAAATTACAAATTCGAATCTCTATAAGTATAGCATAGCATGTAAATTCCTTCCATTCGGTCAACGATAGCCAAAAAACAAACAAACAAACAAAGTTACAAATTTGACTCTCTATAAGTATGTTGTGTAAATAAATTCCTTCCATTAATTTATAAAAAAAGGGAAATAATGTTATGTTTATGTACCAAACACAATAATTTTGTTACCTAAGAGATGGAAGCCTACCGAATTTGAGGCCAGTCATTTACAAAATATAATTTGGTGGTGTAGAGAATGCATAATTGTTACCGTATATGAAACTCACATTCTTATATATAATTAGGCCAGGTATGGGCTCATTACGCCACTTTCCTAAGAAAGTGTGATCTCATATGCCACTTACATTCGGATAAATGTATTTTGATTAGTTAAGTCTTTAGGGGATTTAAGTATAGCATGTTCTAAGCATTTATACATCACCCCAAAGTTACATATAAAGACATTCAACTCTAAAATATTATAATATTCTTGTATGCAAAGTTATACATAAGAAATGTGAACCACTTATGCACAAGAAATATGAACCGACTTTGGTGATTATCACCATGATGAACATTATAATACTCATCAAATTTGAATTATTTAGATTTAATATGAATAGTCGAGATTTAATTTTTTATAATTTTTTTTAAAAAATTCTTTCAATAGGTACAAAATTCAAAATAAAAATAATCTCCTAACCGTTTTTTTTAAAAAATAATTTTTATTTAAAAATCATCAGTTGGAAAATTTAAATTTAGATAATCAAAACTATATTTGGATAATGTAGATCTCATTATTGTAATAAATATTATGGTGATCATCATTGTGATAAGCACTATGTTTTCTTTTCTTTCAAAAAAAGTAAGAAATCTCCACATTACCTAATCACTTAATGTATATACACGACCCCAAAAAAAAAAAAAAAATTTACAGTGGATTTAGAGGTAGATTTGCAATAAATTATACATTTGTGAAGAACTAATTTAGGACAAATATTGTGGTCACAACATATTTTGTGAAAGATTTGTGACAAAAATGTATCAACTTCTAATGAAACCATATTAGTTGGAAAACAAATTTGGTGCATGTTGATAAAATATTAATAGTTTACTAACAATAGTACATTCAATCTCGTCGAAATTATCCAAATCAAGATCCTCAAATTTAGCAATATTTGAAGAGAGAGCCGTTGGTTAATTGCTAGTTAAGTCTAGTCCTCAAAAGTTGGCAAACATTTGACTTTCTTCGCAGGTTAAGCAGATTTAGTTCATCATGCAAAATAATGTCTCCCTTCTATTTGGCAGAAATGGGTCTAGAAGTCCTAAAAAGGTGCCAGTATTTTTGGGTTATTTCAGAACCTCATTATCCTTGATGATGGTGTTGGACCAGCATTTTGACTTCTGGACGCTAAATGGTTAACAAGAATACTTATTAATAATTAAAAAGATGTGGATACTTTATGGGCCAAAAAAGGAATAATTGATATTAGAAAGAAGCTTTCTATGCTGATTAAGATGACAACTGGTGTAAAAAATAATACTCCTCCGGTCCTAATTACAAGACCCAATTGATTTATTTGAGGAGATTAAGGAAGTAAGTTAAGTTGGTTATTTATAATAAATAAGTGTTGTCATTCCTAAAATATCCTTGCTAATTAAGTATATTGGCTAAAACTATCATTATTAGAAGGATTATCTTGGAAAAAAATACATAAATATAAGAGACAAAATGAATTGGGGTCTTATAATTAGGACCAAATAAAAAGTCAAATGGGGTCTTATAATAAGGACCGAAGGAGTAATTCATTTTTTTTCAAAAGTCTGACATCACTTTTCCTTCCTTACCACTTATCTTTGCCATCAGTATAGAAAGTTAATAGTCTCACTGTTTTATTTATAAAAAGGTCGTTGCTCACACTTTCTACATTGTATTCACAGTAGCTGGTTTAAAAATCCTGCTTTAGACATGCTGAGATCCATTTTGTAGTTTTCATCATGATTTTCGGATTTAGGGGGGTGTTTGGAATTAAACAAAAGTGTTTTTATGAAGTACTTTTTTACAAATCGAGATAAACTCCTCTATATAATTACTTTGTATATCGTAAAATCATTTTTAAAATTATGATTTGGTTTCCATCTAAACATTAAACGCTCTTTCTTATGTTTGGCTTTTGCTTTTTGATGGTTAGCCAAGTTACTAGCCTTGGATATGCTGATGAAGGCTTGATTGTGTTCTCTATCATTTCGTGGGCTGCCATTCCATTTGCTCTTGGTTGGCCGTTTTGTGGCAAAGAAAAGAAAACTTGAATTCATTTCTTATTGATTTCTTAATGATTAATTGAGACAAAAGAAAATAATTATTAATAAGTCTTAATGACAAGTAAACAATTGTTATTTATTGTCATAAAACTTATCATTGCAGACTGTTATGTTGTGATTAGAATTTTTCAGCAATTATGTTTTTTTTGGGATTTCATAAAGATTCTTGCTAATTTATTTTGTTCTGCTGTCGTAATGTCAAAAATGGCATATATTAGCTTTTGGA